GCCCCCCCGCCCGGGTCCGTGGCCCGCCGGGACCGTGCTGTGAGTTTACCTGGGCTCGAGTGCCTCATACACCATGGAACTTTGTTCTCGAGAGATGTTTCCTTTGGATCCACGTCCGTGGAGCACTGCGTGTTTTTGAGGTTGACGGAAGCGAGAGTCATGTGCGGGGCTCGACCTAACTTCTGAGGCCTGGGAATTCTCTGGCCGAGGGGCTGCGCCTTGGGCATGCCTTCCTTTCTAGCCCAGCGGCTGGGGTCAGGCTAGAGTGCTGGGGGTCGAGAGAGCAGCTCGCGGAGGCACCTGGTTTCCCTTGATTCTGCCTAGCAGTGGCTTGGTGCCTACTCTGGTGTCTCAGCCCTGGAAATCCCTCGGTTGGAAAGCGGTAGCCGTGTCGCTTATTGTCACTCAGTGAGGTGTTGCACTTGAGAAGTACTCAGCTCAGACACCGGCCCTGAGGAGGTACTAGAAGTCTGCCTAGCATCGCGCGCGGGAAGCAAGCTTCTTGGGGCAGAGACTGACGCGCTGCCCCGAGGCCGTGTCGCCGCCGTCGGTTGGAGCCTGGACAGTGCCACGTACTTAGGAGTACTCCTTGTATGTGATCATTAAATTCCTTTGGAACTTTCCTTGGAGCCTGTGTTTTTATAAGAAAGCATGTGGTGGGGGATCAGAATCATGTCACCTAGAAGATCCCAGACAATTTTTATCTCTGTATCTGGTCCACTACTCTTCCTTTGAACTACAGCAAGAAAATCAAATCCCCAGATGCAGGGCTGATTTATCATCTTTCAGGCACAGGAGGCCAGGTGCTGGGGGCCCACAATGCTTTTAGTGTCCTGTGAAAATGTTTGATAAAAAAAAAATAACACTTTTAGCTCAAAGAAAATATTGTAATGTACACAGACAAACATTCATCTCTGTAACAACATAGTTGAAAGGTATGATTCTTCACATTTCTTTTAATGCACGTAGGGGCCCATGAAGGTAGAAGTGCCCAGGGCCATCTTCTTTGAGCACTGTCAGTGAGTAAAGGCAGGCTGAGAAGCACAGCGCGGTGTGTGGCTCTCCACCATGCCCTAGCCAGGCTCCCACCCTAGACACGCTAAGCCTCTATTCCCCAGTATCTACTGGTGGCTAAGGCCCTGGATCCACATACAACCTGGAGTCTCTCCAGTGATGCTCTTCTGGGCGCCCCAAGTAGAACTGATTGCTCACTGCTTTTGATAGTCTCTCGGCAGTAGGGTTACTAATCAGTTTCTGACAGTAGGAGAGCATTGGTAGGAATAGAAGCCAGGAAAAGGGCCACCTGTCGAGCATAGGCTCTTGGGAACCAGAGTCAGTGCATATGTGGGTTGTTATGTTAAGTCTTTCAGAAAACATGTCTATACCTGTAGAAAGGTGAGACATAATTTGTTTTGGCTCCTGGGTCTCAGTTTTGCATGTTAGGTCACTGGACCCTGAAAGGTGAAGCCATGCGTCATCATGCCTGTCTTTCTTGGAGTGCCTCTGGTTCCAAGTCCAGTATCTCCTGCCTAGACGATGGAAGTGACCAATGCCCTCAACTCCTTTTCCTTTGCTGTCTGTCTACATATCCTGGCAACTGGCCTGCAGCAATTCAGCAAGCATCTTCAAGTGCTTGCTGTCTGCCCATAACTAGGAATTCTCAAGTGGAAAGGATAAACCCTTCTCTCTGGGAGTGCCCATTAGGTGTGGAAACAGACAAGGTGTAAATCAGTTAGTTCACTGACTGTGGGGGTCCAAGCAGGTGGCAGACATGGCCAACCGTTTGTACCTGTGAAGCACGGGAGGGCTTCACAAAAGATGTCACACTTAGGTCTAAGTTGGGGCAAGGAGATGGCTCTGGCGGAGGGAGCATTTCATTCCATGACTCTCCAGAGCAGAACTTTATAGTGGCTTTAGTGGTTTCTTGACTTGCCCTGCAAAACCTGGGGGGGGCTTCAGCTGGCTCCCTAAGTTTGGGAATTGAGGGCACTTCTCACTCTGGATCAGACGATCTCCTCGTGTGCTTGTGTGTGCTTTGTGTCCTTCTAGGCAGGGGTTTGTTGGCACTTTCGAGGGAGAGCTTCTTTGGTCTTAGCCTGCATTCTTAGACCCATACTTGGACAGGGACCAAGCCCCTTTCTGCTCCTCTGTGATGCAGGCCAGGGCATGAGGCCTTTCACAGAGTGGGCGCAATGGGCAACACAAAGTGCTGACCTTGACCTTTTGTCGAAGTTTCTTTTAAATGCATATCTGATCTTGGTTACATGCCAGGTGCTGTTCTAGCTCTAACACATGTATTGATTAAGTTAACTCAGGTGGTCCCTGTGAGGTAGATACTGTTATTAGCCCCATGTACAGATGGGAATATTGAAATACAGAGAGCTCATCAAGCTGAGTGGCCGAGACGAGATTCATTCTAGAAGTCTAGCCTGTCCTCTCATGCTTTCTTGGCTAGGGCTCTGTTCACTCCAGCTGTGAATGTCCTGCCTTGGCCATTCTTAACCCAAACCATGGAGCCCCAGGCTGCTTCTCTTCTGATTGACCCAGTGGTTTTACTGGTGGAGACGCTGAACCTTTTTCTATCTAAATACTCTGGTCTGAGGGAGAGAACCAACCCTCCTCTTTCCAAATTCCTTCTGTGGTTAGCCATAGTGACCAACAAAGATGTGAATTGTGTCCCCTGGGAGTATAGTGAAAAAGAAAAGGTTGAAGACTTCTGCCAGGAGCCAACAAACATAGAGGGGAATTTAAGGGCCAGCTGACTGTGATATCTCAGTGACCCTTTCTCTAATGTACAAGGAGTGCAGCATCAGTTGCTAATTCCAAAACTATGTTTTTCTAGCATCAGTTATGAAAGAAAATCATGCCATCGTTTTCATCCACAGCTGCCTCCAGGGTGACCCCACCATACATGGCTAAAAAACATTTGTCTTCCCTGAGTGAGCACTGCTTTGGCTGAGGTCCCCAGCCCTCTAAAAGGCTAATGCTTGGCTAGGCCGCCTGGTGAGGTAACAGTACTGAGCTGTCTTCCTTGGGAAAAAGAAAACTGGCTGGGAGAGTCAAGTGACTTGCGTAAGATCACACAGCTGGTGAGCTACGTAGCTAGAATTCAAACCCGGGTGAATTGGCTCTTAGTTCAGGGTTCTTTCCTCTTTGCCATTAAGGACCAGGAGGGGCCTTCTGGCTGTGCTGAACTGATAAGTCCTTAATGAGCTGACAAGTGGCTGTAGCACCTTGCTTCTGGGGCAACACGTGGGTTAGCGAATAGGATGAGTTTAGGCATTTTATAAGCAGAAATGGCCAAAGCTCATACAGTAGCTGGAAAGTTGAGCCTGCCCTGGGCTTGCCAGGTGCCTTCTGAGTTTGGAGCTCTTCCCTCCATAGCTCACCACGCCGTAACACTGTAGAACTTGCCCTGCTGGCAGATTGGGCTTTGGGCTTTACAGTTTCATTCTTTTTAGTTGGAAAGTAGTGTAACACTTTCTAGCTTCACTAGCTAATGAATTGTATGGTTTTTTTTAATAAAGAAACATTTTTTGCGGGAAGAATTTTAAACTTACAGGAAAGTCACAAGAATAAGATCAGTGCAAAGAACACCTGCATATCCTATATTAGATGTACCTATTGATAGTATTTTATTTTATTTGTCTTATCCCCCCATATGTCTGTGTGCTCGTGCATAGATACATATGCATACATATAATTTTTTTCTGAACCATTTGAAAGGAAGTTGCATATGTCATGGCTTTTTCCCCCTGAACACTTTGGTCACTTCAGAGAGCAGGAAGAGGCTCCTGGTACTTGGTGCCTCTGGGAGATGTAAGGTGATGTTCCCCACCCTTGTATTCACTCTGTAACAAGCCCTCACTACCACATTCTGTGTGCTAGGCACTCCGTCACCACAAGATGGTCTTGAGGGCACAGGCCATGCCGGGGTTAAAGCTCTGGTTGGCCCAGGTGGCAGCTAGTCAGGGCTAATATTTCATTTGTGGTTCTAGTTTTAGGAATGAAGGATGTGCTGTTGTCGCACATTTTGGCAAATGCGCTTATACCTTCTCGCCACTGTTAGGGCCACATCTTTCCCGGTTCCTCTGGCCCAGATCACTCTTGCCTGCAGCCTTGTCCTGTTTCTCAGGCCCAGCTCATCACCAACTCACCCCACCCCCCCCCGCCCCCACCACAGTTCCGCAACACTTAACACATCTGAGATGATCTAGCTGTGGGCTCTCTCTGCATGCATGATCTTACCTCTTCCTCTCCTTAGCTCAGGGACACCTAGTAGATTTCACTCGTAGGTGGAATGTGTCAGTGGCAACCTTTAAGACTTAGTAGATTGCAAGAGACTGATTAAATGTCTTTTCTTTGGTGCTGCTAGATTGTTTCCTCCCCACATGTGCTTTTCTATTCAGGTACTAAAGAGTTGGTGACCAACCCCTTCTCCCTCTTGTCTACAGTGCAGGTCAGTAATCCTGAGAGCTCAGTTTTGGGCCAACAGTTTGCCAGAGGAAAGGGTGTGATCACAGCGTGGTTTTTATGTGACATCAATATTTTTGTTTCTGGTGCGATTTACCAGTTAGTTGACTTGGAATGTTTAGTAAAAGACAGTCCTGCTGATCCAAGATGGGCCGCTCTTGGCATAGCAAGACCGGGGAGGGTGAATGGCACATGGACAATTGTCAGAGTGCAGTGAGCAGGAGACCCAGAGTATCCTGGGGCTTCTGGGCAAGCCACCTGGGAGGAAGGAAAGCTGAGGTCTGGCGTTACCTTACATGAGCTGTCTGTAGAAGGAGTGGCTGCAGTTAGATCAAGGCAAGTCCAGTATGGTGGTTTAAGAACATGGACTCTAGAGTCATACCGCTTGGGGTCAAGTCCTGCTCTGTGGCTGCTTTGTGCTTTAGTTTCCTCGTCTGTAACGTGGACATAATAACTTTTTTCATAGAGATGTGAGAATTAAAGTGGGTATGTATAATGTTCTAAGAAGTATCTGATATAAAGCAAATACTTCAAAAAGGCCTACTTTTATAACATTATCCACGAATGGACTTCATGGAAGCAAGACTCCTTAAACTGTAAGCAAGACTCCATGCATGTGCATGTAAGCCACACAAGGGCATATTTCTCAGGAGAGGGTCCAGTCTGTCCGCCACCCCCCGCCCCAGGACGCAACAGAGCACAGTGGCTTTGAGCAGTGTCTCAGACATGGTGAGTGCTAAATGAGTCTAGCCATTTTAATGCTCTGAGAGGGTGTATGTGTGGCTTGCAGCGAGCCCCCAAAACAGCCACAGCACTTTGGACAGGGCTAGGATTGTTCATACTGACACGTTTTGCTCTTTGTCACGTTCATGCTGTGTCCCCTGGGCCTGGTCTGGCACAGAGTAGGCACTCAGAAATCAGTTATTGAGTAAATGCACAAATGGCTATTTATATTTTGATATAAAGAGCAACAGCTCCCTTAGCCAGCGGGCCTTGCAGCTGCCCCTGGGTGTTGGGGGGGCAGATAGTGGCGACGACGAGGGCCTTGTGGCAGCTTTGGAAGAACTATAGAGTACTGGTGTGTGTGTGGGGGGGATGCTGCAGAGCCAGCTGGCGTGGGCCTCACTCATGGGCAGTTCTTTCTGCAGATGTAGCTGGGCTGAGAGGTAAAAGCAGGTGAGAGCTTCTCACAAATGTGGATCCTCACTAAAGTTCACCTAGCCACCCAGCCTGGGATTGGAAGGCACTGGGGGCTCCTACAGTTTGGAGCCCTGGGGGCTCTCTTATGGACTTGTTTGACACTGAGGCTTGAGAAGTGGACCAGCCCCTGCATGAGAAA